TGATCTGAAAACACCAGATATATTGAATTAATTAATGCTACACTTTATGGAAAGAAGCCATCAATATCTTAATAATGAAAGATCACACTTCACATTTCAATGGCTATTTCCTATCTACTAAAGTACATGTCTACACACATAGTAAAATCATAGAATCATAGACCATAGAATCACAGAATCATAAATCCTTGGTCCTTACACACATTACACTTCACGATGAAGTCACTTATTTTCACCTCTTTGCTATCAACTTACTAAAACAATTTTGTGTTGCATATGAAGACAGACAAATTTAAAGTAGAATAATGACTGTATTGTTTGTAACTGAACAATATCAAATTGGGAAAGTGTATACATATATATGCAATAAATTCAATTTCTAATTATATTCCTACTCAGTTGTCTTTATACATCTAGATACATACAAAAATGAGTAAGAATACTAAACCAATATTATTTAAGTTGCAAAAAGACTGCCAGATTTAAGAGTGTCATTCCAGTTTAATACTGCCTGATTTTTCATCCCTGCTATATACTGAATGACTTGTGTCTTGGGAGGAAAAAAGCATCTTAGATGATGGAAATGATGGATTTCCACCATCTACGATCATGGAAATGTAGAAAGTCTCATAATTCCTGCATTAAATGAAGTGGGAAAAAATGGGGATCTATGGTAATGCATGCAATGAAAATAACTCATTACAAAAATAAACTTGTAATGCTTGCAATATATTTTGCTTGCATTATTATGTTTTATATTCTTTAGTTCCCATGTAGCAGTCCTCTTTTTATCCTAAATATATTTTTTAAAAAATCAAACAGAGAAGGCACGCAGCCCCAGACAGCAGTGACTTTGACCATTTGGTTGATAAAAAGAGACTGTGATTAATAAAACAATTCAGGAGGAAATACAAAGTACGTTAAAAAGGTCAGAAGCAAATCATGGTGGACAGCAAGCAGAGCAAATGGGCAAAGCAAAATTCCACGTAACTGCAGCACAGAGAACAGCAAAGGCCAAGATGAAAAAGGGAAACTGCATTTTATAACCGGCTGACTGAACTATTTCAGCCTCAGTTCTGACCAGAAGACTGCTTATTGCTCTGAATAGTAGGCCTCCATTGATTTCAGAGGATTTAGAATCTGCTGTTATTGCTGTTGTTTAGTTCAAACATGTGAATGAACCAAACAAATGGTGTTAAAAATAATGCTTACATCTTCAACAGCCTCTCCTCGGGCTGAACTGAAGGCTGCTCGCTCAAACTAGAGCTGTAACTTGCAAACAGAAACTGCCTAAGGACTTTATTAAAAAGTTGTCAATAAGGTGGTTTTCTTTTTTTAAGTCAACTCTGTAAGTCTCTCACTGGCTCCTCCCTTCACTATCCTGCCTTTGTATCACAGGGCAGGTGGAACCAAAGGTGAGAACTTCTCAAAAGGGAACCACTGTGTGATGCAGTGGTTGCACCAAGAAGAATTATTTGTTTTCTAAACTATTGTGCCAAAGGAACTGTATTTCCTCAAAGAAAAGAGCCATTCCTGTATTTCAGAAGAGTGTTATTTAGGGAATACTGTGTCCCATTCAAATTTCAGTTCACTCACATAGCTTGCACTTTTCACAGTTCCATCTGACTCTCCAAATCTCTTCATCTGCAACAGGCTGCTTTTCTCTCTTGTGTAGCCTTAGGCTATCAAGTATTAAATCACCCAGAGAGCTTTTTTATCTCACTCCTTCTACTCCCACAGAACTCCCTGGACCCCTAGTACCCCACTGCTCCTCAATGGAAATCCAATTTCTGCTCAGCTCTGACAGTAACCAACTCATATTGCACGTTTTCAAGTGTCACTTTCAGACATTCACCCTCTCCACCCATTATTCCCCATTCTCATGTATCTTTTTATTATTATTGGCATGGTTATGCTATGCAAGATTGAGTGGGAAGAGTCTTCAAGTCCTCAAGACACGTGCACATAGCACTGAATACCTGATGAAAGTGGTCAAAAAAATCATGTATGTCACTGCCATACTGCAGAGTTCACTTTTTTCATGCTAAGCTGGTGATTATCTAACCTACCTTAGAGAGAAATAGAGAACTGTAAAGGGCAAATCCTCTGAGTCTTCAGGGATTAATTGATCTCTGCAGATGTCCAACTTTTGGAGGCCTAAACCAGGGCAGATGAATCCCATTTCAGCAATGCTTGGTTTATGGATTACTTCCTACAGCTGCTGCTGGAGAATCAAAGCTTAAATAATCAATATAAATAGCACAAATTTCTCTAGTTGTCTAACTAAATTTTGAGAAATCAAAACAAACAGAACCTGTTATTAAATCAGCACCTCATTCAATGCCACTGAGTTCCTTACTACCAATAAAAGAAAAAGCCATGCTTGAAAATAATTTGCTGCCAGCCAGGAAGCTTACATAGAAGCAGTTAACAAAACTGAGAGAACCATCAGCATTTTATTTCATGGTTGCTCTTGAAGAGGTTTTGTGCCCCTATGTGTTTCTCCAAGTGTCTTGGCAAATCTGGTGACATCACTATTAGCCTGATAATAAAAGGAAAGTCTTTGTCAGAGATTTGTTGGGCTTTCAGCTGCTCCTACTAGCAGAAGGCAGGCAGGCAACTTTCCACTAAAAGTAAGCTGATTGTAAAAATTAAGCAAGTCTATATGTTATTTGAAAACCTCACCAGGGAATCCATTCATTCTTAGTTCATCAGAGCACAAAAAGCCTCTGTTCCTGGCTTTATTTTTGCTAAGGTCAATGCAACCTCCTAATCTGTTTTATTTTTTTCCACTCAGCTCCTGCTCAGGTCAGTCTCAGGTGTGTCCTAGGATCTTCCCAGGCTACATGCTAAATTGCTCTGTGACTGCTGCTTGAACTACATTTTCATAGAAATTATTAAATGTTTAATGTAGTAATATGTGGTCTGTCTCTATGATAACATTTTCTCCTCTTATCACTAAAATCTCAGTTTGACCTTTCTGCCAATCTTTTCTCTGATTTATGCTATGCTGCTTTTTTTTATTTTATGGAAGAGAACAAACATAATTCTGAGGGTGACATTAATTTGAGTTAGTCCTGGTTTTAATTTCTTTACAACATATGCCTAAATACTTCAGTCTGCATTTATTGCTCGTGAAAATAAATCATAGCTTCTCCACTGGAATCCCTATGGTTGGACTAATCCATCCCAGCTCAGAATCCAACCCACCACCTTTTTCTTTTGTCTTGTTTTCTCTTAAATATTTCAAGATCTGTTTTGTTGTGCCATTCATGAAAAAGGAATAGATCCTGCCATACTTGGGTAACAGATCTGATAATATTTTGAGCATTTTTTTAATGTACATGAACTCAACTTTTATTCATAAACCCATTAGGGGTGAAATCCACTTCTGTAGGTAGGGTCGGGTCTAAATCTTTATACCATGTAAATTTTCTTCTGAATCTCCAAACCAGGACCAAACCAGTACTGCAACACTGTCTAAGCTATGATTAGCCTCTGCATTTATCTTATTGGAAGAACAACTCATACTAGCAGTGAGTAAGAATTAAAAGAAAATTTGAAAGATAGAGTAAAAGATTAGGCCAATGAATCACAGGGAGATCAGAACCGTATCTGAGCCAGAAAAAAACGAAAAGCTGCTGTAACAAATCTTTGGGTCATTTCTATTTAGTCTTTTTTTTATTGGGCATAGAGACATGAAAGTAGGACCACACACACACCTGCAAGTCAACAATTGTTTTATTTATTGCTGATACACAAGGAATGGGTTGGGAGTGGTGTGTTATTAGGCTATGTCTTGATGAACTGCTGTCTTCCTCCTCTCTCCTCCCTCATGCTGTCATGTCAGTGTCTATTTTTTTAACCTTTGATGAGTCCACGAGTTAAACTATTCCTGACAACAATAAAGCCACCTCTTTGTTTCCACTCTCCAGTCTTGCATGGCATGTATCTTGCTGTCAGGCTACGGTAAGAGTGACAGCTAGAGCTTATAACTGACTTCCTCACACAAAGCTGGATGTTGGGTCACACAGCCGTACACTGTAGGAAGAAATCTACAGCATTTCAGTATCAGCTATGTATTATACAAGCTGTACATAAGCATTATAAGGTCACTTTCGTGACAGTAGGTGTGGAAGTTCTGCATACTTAGAGAGATTAAAGATCAGTGATTTAGGGTCATCAAAACCATAGTGGCAATCTCATGTTACTGAGATTATAAGTGAAGAATACAACATTGTGGAGGCTACTATTGGTCTTACAGACCCATATTCTATTGGTATTGTCCTTGAGACTGCTCCAGTGACTGCTCCACCCTGAAAATTTCCATTTAATCAGAGAAAGGTTCTGCAAGAACTAAATCTACTCAGAATTATGTTTCTCCTGAAGTGAAGAACCCAGAACAAAGCTCACTTGTTATTTAACCCTTCAGAAGATGGCTTAGATGGTTGCTGAGTTGCACACAAGTTTCTGCTGAAGTTCTGGTGGGGTTGACTTCCATTGACAGCAGGAAGCTAAAGAATTTAGCGTAAAGCTAAGTACCCAGTGAGCTATCATGCAGCACACAAGGAGAAAAAGATACACCACAGCTAGTCTGAGAATCAAGGTTTAGGTATTTTTCTTTCATGGTCTATAGGATCTCATTGGGTCCTGTTCCCAGTTGGGTAAAGAGGATAGTTCCACAGACAGCTCTTTCTTGATAGGCCAACCCCAGGCAGTAAAAAAAGGAGCCAGGTTCTTGTTCACCTGCTGAGAAAACTTCTTTGCCCACAAGTTCATCTTAGAAGGTTTGTCTTTCGGGATGGTGGACATTTTCTGGTAGTCAGAGAAGAGGTGAGTGAAGGGGTCCCAACCAAACCCTTCCTGCAACTGATGGAGAAGAATATAATGTGAAAACAATGAAATTCTCATTTCACTGGCATTATTCCTGTGTTACAAACTGTAGAAAATTCCATAGGTTTCTGCAGTGTCTTTTAGAATGAATGTAAAGTTAGATGAAAGCATTCAACTGTCAGGTTTCAGAGCATAACCTACAGAAAAATACACCTTCCCATTACACTGGCCTGCCAAAACAAATGGAGATGAAAGATGACCAGAAATGTTAGCAACCAACTGTACGAGCTGCTGATTTGGGTAGAAGAAAGCTTGTGGTGCAGTGAGAAAGCATCAAAGAGGACACTGACAGAGAACCTGGAAAGAAGGAGCATAGGAGATCAAGGAGTAATCAGAAGACAGGAAGGAGAGACTGTGAGCAGGGCATGCTTTGGTGAGGAATAAGAACAAAATGGATTCAGATAGAAAAATTGCTGTTGCATGTGTAAAGAGTTTAAAGTAAAGATGCAGGGGAAACCTATATTTTTACTCAAGATGAGGTTAATATGAAGAGCTGACTTGGAACAATAGCATGACAGGACGCAAAATGTCTACTCAATGTCCATAGCTCCTCACCAAGCCATGCCCTACATCTCACTTTCTGATATTAAATAGATTGACACTAAATTGCATTCCACAAATCCTCCATCATGCTCTAACAGCCAAGCAGGAGACAGCACTTCTGCATTAGGCAGAACAGGCAGGCTATCTCCATCTGATAATCCCCTATTGATATGGAGACCCCTGATGCTGAGACTAGCTATGAACTAGGCAGCATCTTTTTGTGAGAAGGTTGAAGAGCCATGAGGAGGCTGACTGGAAGGTGGGAGATGAAGGGGCCTGGTGTTTTGCCAGGTCAAAATTAAGCAGTAAGTCATACTGGAGGAGGCTCCCCACCATATTGGGTTATGTCTGAACTGCAGAATGCAGTAGCATCTCCTGAACCTTCAGTTCAAGTATCCATCCCAGACAATTCACAACTCCTTGTCACAACATGTCCACAGTGAAAACCGTCTGTTCCCTCCCCTGCTGCCAGTCTTCTATGGGAAAAAATCACAGGTTCCTGGAGAACTGGGGGAAGCAGCACCCTGGAGCATGCTGCAAGTGCTTCTTTTTCCTGCTCTAGACAGGACCTGGGAGGTCTCTGACTTTACTTCAAAGCAAGCAGTGAGGAGGTGTGGAGACAGAACAGTACAGACAGGAGTTTCATTGTTCCATTTCGATCTGTAAATCTCTTGGGACAATTAACTGATTTTGTAATTGTTTTAGACTCTTTTTTTGCAAGATCTGTGTTACAGGCTTTAGTGACCACTCTGGAGAGGAAAATAGGTATCCAGGCTGAACTCTGAGAGATGGTATGTTCCATCAGGCAATGCCAAGACCAGAGGACACCATGTTGCATTGCAAGTGTAAGACCCATACAGCAGTTGGATGTAAAAAGGCCTGACGATCAGTGCTGAAGCCTTCCTGGATTGAAGGAATGTGAAAAGCATCTAAATGGCAGCCAAATGTGGTGCTTTAAGGAACATGGAGACCATTCCATAGGAAAAAAAAAAAAAAAAAACCAAAACAAAAAAAATTCCCACATTATCACTGTAATAGGGACAGTATATAGACAGAATTGTAATTGTTCTTTCACGTCACATTTATCCCAGCAGTCCTGTCAGTAGCCAGACAGGAGATGGGAGATCCCAGCCTATAAGGTGGGGATGAGACAGTGGGGCAGTGGGCAAACTGGTAAGGTAGTGTTGGAAAAATTCCCCTTTTGAAACTGTTCCACTCTGTATAATTATTTTGATATTTACCATAGAATTATTGAATGTCATGAGTTGGAAGGGACCCAGAAGGATCATCCAGTCCAACTCCTGTCCCTGCACAGGACAAGCCCAACATTCAGACCATGTCCCTGAGGGCACATGGTGGCCAAATGCTTCTGGAATCTTGTCAGGCTTGGTGCCATCAGCACCTCCCTGGGGAG